ATGAATGTCTCCTACCACACATTGATTGCAGTGGTTGCAGGAAATGTTGATATTCTGGTTTGCCGGTCACCCCAGTGACTTGGACAGTTTGTCACAAAAGCCCAATAATTTTCTCATTCAGAACAGAGTATGTAGCACCAGTATAAAGAAGAAAGTATACTCTCCTGTTCCCCACTGTCAATTGTACCCGAGGCTCTTTAGGGGTGATTGTTAAGGCAATCACCTCTGTTTGGGGGAACAGAGGAGACCCTGGGTCCCATCATTCTTCCTCAGAACCGTCCATCCTTTCTGTCATCAGTGCTACTGGTGCTTTCTGGCCCTTTGGTTTGCCTTGGTTAGGGTATTCCTTCTTCTAATGTCCTTTCTCTTTGCAATAGGCACACTGGTCTCTCTCTAGTGGGGGGCTGGGGCACCGTCTCTGTGCACTCCATGACTCATATCCCTTTATCTGATTCAGAAAAATGGTGGCAGCCTTAGCCTTTTGGTACTCACGGCTATTGTACACCTTGTAGGTGATATCTACAAGCTGGGCATGTGGCATGCTCATGACTCCATATAACTTTTGGAGTTTATTCCAGATGTCCAGGCTACTCTGGGAGATAAAACTCATAGTGATCATATGGGAGTTTTCAGCCACTTGGGGATCAATATAAGTATATTGTCTACAGGGTTGGTAGATTCTCTCTAAAAATTCTGGGGGATCCTCATTGGGTTTTTGTACTGCCTGTACCATGTTTAGGCTCTTCTGTTTTGGTACCCCTTCACATAGCCTCTCTATAAGACATCGCTGGTAATGTTCTAATCTGGACTGATGATTCCTATTATTAGGATCCCAGTCTGGTTCAACAAGAGGGATTGTCCCATCTGGTGCCGGTGTCCCTTTAGGGTTCTCTTGGTGCAACCTCTCAGCTTCTTCTTTGGCCTTGCCTATCACCAGCCTTCACTCATCGGCGGTCAGCAGCATGTTGAGCAGGGCTTGTACATCTGCCCAAGTGGGCAGGTGGGTAGCAAACACAGAGGAGATTAGATCAGCCATCTTTTGGGGGTTATCTTGATAGGAGGGGTTAAGATTTTTCCAATTCATTAAATCCGAGGTGGAAAAAGGAGTATGTGCCCAGTAATATCTGGCGGGCTGTCCTCTTGGGCCAACTCCAACAGCCAGCCACCTCAAAGGGTATTGCCCTGCCATGGCCCATTGGCTCCCTAGCCCTACTCCGAATTGTGTACCTTGTTGAGTACAAGAGGGGGAGACAATTTCATTGGCCCTGTCTACTCTAGGTGCTCCCAGTATTGGCAATGGAGGATCGGTTGGGGGTTCTGGGTATTGATTTCCAACGGCCGGGACATTCCCCCTTATCCTTTAATTCCCCTGATTTAGAATCAGGGATTGAGGCAGCTGCTGGTCCCAGCACTGAGGCAGTCTGCCTCTGAATCACTAGCTTGTTTCCCTCTTCGCTATCTTCCAAATTATGCAAACTCATAAACATTTGTACATAAGGTATTTCATCCCATTTCCCAGATTTCTGACAAAACAATTCCAGTTGTAAAATAGTAAAATAATTCAAGGAACATTGAGCAGCCAGTGCTCTCCAAAATCTAAAATATACATTGGCCAAACTGTATTGCAACAGAAAGTTAATTTCTTTTTGATCAATGGCTTGTAGCTGTAGTTTTGCCAATGACCTAATATTGGGTTGTCGGAAAAGTCATGACGCATTTTTGCAATGAAAAACATAGAAAAAGTATGTCATGACTTTTCCGACCATCCAGTATTTTGCCTAATGGGCTCCTGGCTGGGATTGAAGCCTTAGATCTCATTATTGAGCTGGAACAAATGTGGCCACATTTAACACAGACTTAAACACACAGACAGATCCAAGTAGTCCCTGGATCGGACAGACAAAACCAGAAAAATTGAATTCAGATCTGAACACCAAAACTAAGCCTGGCCAGGTACCAAATTAGGACGCGATGTCGTCTTACTCCATATACATGGTCCGTCGACCGCCAGATAATTGGCCTGTGGGCTAAAACCAAAAAGTAAATGTGGCCCTAAGACCACCCAGTGCCCAAAGGCCAAAACCAAGCATGGTGGCTTTTACAGTGCTGACCACAAGTGCTCCCAAGACCAAAGCAAGCTTGAAACCAAGGCCCCTTACTGGTGAGGATATTATGACTTGCTGGACATTGCAGTCTCACCTATTGGCGCCAATGGGTTAGTAAGACCCCCAAATGGCTCTCAAAGAGGAGCCCCAGATAGTGAGTGCAAAATCCTCCGGCTGTGCACACCAGGGCCACCCCGCTTTCTGAACCAGTAATTAGAGGCAGGAAACAGAGAAAACACTTATTCTACCCCAGCTGAGCAGAAAAGATGTCCATGTCGGGCAGGTCCTGGCACAAACCCCACCTCCATGAGCAAAATCAATCAGCAGCTATTTCCAGAGGTTGGTCCTGCCCCAAGGAATCCACCCAGTCCCAGGCAGCCCCCGAGACCCTCCACAAGCCAAAAGACTTACCAGAGGAGTCCCGAGGCTATCCCTTGGTGGTTGCTAGAAGCTAAAAGCAGAGACCAAATGAGTCCGGGGGTTCATGCTGCTCAGCCAATAGATCAACACAGGAGTTGGTTAGTAGAATAAGCCTTTATTATCAGAGCACTGGTGGTCTGAGGAGGCAGCAGATTAACACCTTCAAAAACTGCCTTAACATTCTCAGACCAACCTGGGATGTTTAAGGGAAAATCTGGGTGTTCCTCCAGAAGCTACCTGACAGTTCTAGGGGCTGCATGGAGCCTCCCCTCTGGCAACATGGCTCTCTGGTGGAGTCAGCAATCCAGGAACAGTGATGGGAGTAACCTGGTAGACCACTGAGATTGTGATCAATAAGCCTAAGGGTATTATTCATAAGTTTCAGGGGAATTTTCTAAAATGGGGAACTGGGTGGGACAGGGGACATTCAGAGCTCAAGACACAGGAGGTTAATCAATTGTTAAGCTATACATAGGTCAAGTAAAGGTGAGGCCAGGGACACAGTGAGATCTCTACTGTGGGGCTCCGAACCAGGCTTCACCTCGGCTCTTGCCTTCCTGAAGAATGCAGTTGAGACAGTTTGTGCAACATAGGACAGCAAGAAGTTTATTAGTAAAAGCTAGTACACTCCCAGACATAGAGTGGGCTGACCCAAGAGAGGGAAGCAGCCTCTCTTTACATTATGTGGGGTTTTTTTATCTATTTGGGTAAAATTATCTCCCCTTCTCCCTCTCTATTATCTTTCTCTCTTCTGCTGAGGTATCCTGCCCTCCCCTCTGGTTCCCAAGTTTGTTTTCTCAGGGTGTAAAGGTGAACCTGTTAATTTCCCATGATTTATTTGAGAAGCAGGATATACGAGCTCTGACAATTAAGTTCACAAACTCATCCTAGAAAAAAGTGCTACATACCTCACTGCTGAATATCACTATGGTGACCTTCAAAGTAGTCCCCTTGGAAATCTATGCACTGATGTCAGCACGTAGTCCACCCTTCAAAGCAATTTTGGAACTCCTTTTCCGGAATGGCCATCAGAGCTGTCATTGTATTACACTTGATGTCCCGAATGTCATCCAAACGTCTTCCTTTCAATATTTCTTTTATCTTTGGATAAAGAAAGAAGTCATTGGGGTCAGCCGAGTGGCTCAGTTGGTTATGAGTTAGCTTAAGAGCGCGAGCTCTGAGCAACAGGGTCGCTGGTTCAATTACCATACAGGCTAGTGACACTGCGCCTGAGCTGAGCCACTGCTGAGCTGCCAACAGGTGGCAGGGTGGCTCAGCTGGTGAGAGCAAGTGCTCCTAACAACAAGACTGCTTGTTCAATGGTGGGCTACACACGCCCGCAACTAAGACTTAACTTGGCACCTTGAGCTGAGCTGCCACCCGGATGGCTCAGTGGATAGAGCATGTGTTAACAAAAAGGCTGCCGGTTCAACTCCCACATGGGATGGTGGCTACGTCCACCCTCAACTAAGACTGAACTCGGCACCTTGAGTTGAGCTGCCGCCCGGATGGCTCAGTGGATAGAGCGTGCTCTCTTAACAAGGCCACTGGTTTGACTCCTGCATGGGATGGTGGTTAGGCCCACCTGCAACTAAGATTGTAACACAGCACCTTGAGCTTAGAGGCCACGAGCTGCTGATGGGCAGCCAGATGGCGACTGGCACCCTCCACAACTAGGATTGAAGAACAACAACTTGGCTGGTTCCATTTCCCAATTACCCAACACTGTTCCCCACCCCCAATAAAAAAAAAGTCATTGGGGGCCAGATCAGGTGAATAGGAGGGTGTTCCAATACAGTTATTTGTTTACTGTCTAAAAACTCCCTCACAGACTGTGCTGCGTGAACTGGTGCTTTGTCGTGATATGAGAGCCATGAATTGTTGGTGAAAAGTTCAGGTCGTCTAAGTTTTCACGCAGCCTTTTCAGCACTTCCAAATAGTAAACTTGCTTAACTGTCCAGTTGGTACAAATTCATAATTCACAAATTCATGAATAATCCCTCTGAAATAAAAAACGGTTAGCAACATTGTTGCAACAAATTCCCTAACTTAACTGTCAGATCTCTTATATTCTGATAAGCCAGATGGTTTCTTTCTCTCTAAAGCACTTTTCCTTCTCCTAACGACACATCTTACTCTATCTTGCTGAGCAAGCAAGGTGTTTGTGCCCCAAGTGAGAGCAGTTGCGAGGAGCCTTGACCCAAGTAGGAGCAGCTGCAAGGGACCTCCTAACCAGGGCTAGCTCCCTCCTTCACTTGCTCACTTCTACCTTTCTACCTACCCTATGAGCAATACTGCGGCATTGCGGTTGTGCCATGGCCACATGGATAGGGTTGTGCCCCTATCCCCACCCCAGTCCTTTGGACGGGCCAAGAAATGACGACTGACTAAATGGGTACCATTCTCCGCGCCAGCCCTCAGAGCGTCTGGCGGTGAGGCAGGCGCGCTGATTGCGTCATCCGGTAACGTCACTTACTGGGGCCGCCACCGTGGTTTCCCTGGTGACCGGCCGGGCGCCCTGTGATGAGGCGAGAGGATGCTGCCACGGTGGCCGCGCGACCCCCTGCAGTGCCTGCAGCGCCGTGACCAAGAGCTGAAGCAGCAGGTACCGTCTGGCTGTCCCGTGGGGCCTGAACCGTGCGACGGCAGGGCCCCTAGCGGGGCGAGACCGAGGCGCTGGAGTCCTGGGAGCCGGCCCCTTCCCACGGAGATTCCCAACAATAACTCTCCCATCCCAGCATCCCACACCAAACCCGTGTTCTAACCTCTCATCCCCTGAACGCGACCCCAGGGGCCAAACCTCCCCACATTATGACCTTTGAGTGTCCTCCCTTTGCCCTCCCCCTAACATCTGTCTCAACCCTTAACCCACCTCAACTCCAAACATAAATATTTAACAGTAACCATTTCCTGCCATCTCTGCGCCCAACACTACTCTCCTTCTTTTTCCAGCCCCGCTTTCCTCCAGCCTTCTTCCAGTAGAGGCTGTTACTGCCTCACATGAACTCAAAGTGAATTAGTAGCCAAAGAATAGTCCTAATGTGCAAGAGACACGGACTAGAGCTAAAGAAGAAATACAAGTAACTCACATACATGAGAAAAGTTAACATGAAAAATAAGTAATTGCAAAGGAGATAGGATATAACAGAAATTTAAAAAATCACAATACTCAGTACTGGGGAGGGTGAGATGAAACAGGAACTTGACATTCTCCAGGGTATAAGGTACAGCATTTCTAGAAAGCAGGTGTAGCAAATATTCATGCTTCTAAGCTGGGTGATTACATTTTTAGGAATTTACCATACATAATAATACAAAAAAAATTGGGACATATTGATATGTAAAAGTGTTCATCAGTATTAATGATAATAGAAACAACTGGTTACAACTTAAATGATCAGTACTGGGGAATGGATACTATCTTATATAACTATATAATACAGTGATTAAAATTTTGTTAGAGATTTTAATGCATTAGGGAGAATATTTGAGATAAAATTTCAGTTTGGAAAAAAAATGAAATTGAATATACAATGTTTCAATAAAAAATTTTAATTTATATGTAGGAAAAAGGAAACATGCTAGGATGATAACTGGTAGCATGCTGATAGTTGTTTCTCTTCATACTTTTTGGTATTTTCATAATTTTGAATACCAAATGTATATTACTTTAAGAATTAAAAAAGTAGGTAGTAATTACTGCGTTGTTAATTTATTTTCTGAAATTACTTTGCTAATTTTACTTTTTAGTTTTCATATGATTTATTACCAAGTGTTGTTTTCACTAAATAAAATTATTTAGCAATCTTTGGCAGATAAGAGATTTACTGAATGCTCATATTTTATCCAGTTTTGGACTCTCATTTAAAAAGTACCAAAGGTTTGATGGGTAAATATTTGTTAAATGAGTCTATTGGAATTATAGCAGTGCAACAAAATACTCAGTAGAAGTAAAATAAAACTTGATGAAGTATTGACTTACGTTGAGTTTTGGCTAAATGCTTAATATGGTTCTATATCTAGTTTTAAATTTAGTGGGACATTGAGAGAACCAGAAAAAAATTTGAGAAGTAAACTACAAAAATTGTTATTAAAACAAAGATGAAACAAGAATTATTAGAAGGATTATTCAGCCTGGAGAAGAATTGGTTCAGGAGCCTTTGACACCCTGAACGTCTAGGAAGGGCTCTTTGATAGTGTGAGCGAATTCCCCTCTGTCCCCACAGAGGACACCAGATGCAAAACACAGAACAGATTTCCAACTTGGTGTCCTTGGGGACAAATAATCAAGAGTGGGTTCCGATGGGTTATGCCTATGATGACTGTCAGCAGGTGTGTAAATTTTGTAAATAATATTCAGACAGATGCAAAATAACAGAGTAGAGAAGAAGCTAGTGAACTTTTATTTCTCTCTCTTCATCCACTTCATTTTCTCTGCATCATTTATAGAAAAGAACCCACCAGAAATATGTGCCTCTTTTATGGGTACATTGGCAAAGTTACATGTAGTATTTGGAAAATACTAAGTCAAGTTATAAAATATAAAAATGAGGATAAACAAACTCGTAGTATAGTCATACAATGAATACTACCCAGCAATTAGAAGGAATAAATTAATGATACACACAACAATATGGAAGTATCTCAAAAACATGAGGTGTGAAAGGATTACAGAAAAGAGTACACACTTTCTGGGGTAATGGTACTTTTTCTTCATATGTTGATGGGATTTGGGTTATACGGGTGTATGTGTTTGCCCAAACTCAGCAAATGCATACTTAAGATTTGTACATTTCATTGTATGTAAATTTTACATAAAATATTGAACTCTAGCTGGTGATACCCATGGTGCATTATTTCGGGGGAAATGTATTGATGATTGCAGTTTACTTTGAAATATATAAAAATAAGATGGACTGCTGAATAGATGGATCAAATAAGTATAGTAAAATGTTAATGGTAGAATCTAGCTGTTGGGTATATGGGTGTTCACTGTAAAGTTCTTTTCACTTTATTGTATATTTAAAAGTGTCCATAAAATATTGGAAAAAAAGATAAAAATTTTATTTTCTAAGGTTATATGGTATTTAACAATACCATATAAAATTTAACAATTTTAAGCAGTTTCCATTTATTGTAGGTTGATAGTTTGCTTTCTGAGAGTCAATTGAAAGGAGCTCTAGAAGCCAGTAAAAGGCGAGATATTTACCAAAGGTAAAGCATACTAATTTTATAAGTTTTTCAGGAACTGTACTTGTATTTCAATGAGCAGTGTTTACAGCATAGAAATTGTTTGAGGCGTATTTCTTTCCTTTTTTTAGTGCAGTTTCTAAAAAGACAAAATAATAATAAATAACATTGAGGTAACAATTAATGAAATTTTCCAAAATGTATTTAAAAATATTTTTTGCAATTATCTATATCTACCAGGTCTAAATATTGGAATAGCAATATTAAATAAAGCATTACACATGTTAAAAAGAGGTACCTTAATCTATTTTTTACTCTATGTACCAAGCAGTGTGATCCACACTTGAGAAACTTTTTCTTAATTAATTTTCACAATAACACCATGAGATACTTATTAATATAGATGGGAAAATTAAGGTTCACAGTAGTTAGTAAATATGTCTAATATTACTTTGCTATAAGACATTTGATTGGGAAAGTAATAAAAATGTTTTAAGTCTGCTAAGAAATGCAGAATTCAGTCAAGCAAGAGAAGGAACTTCATTGAAATCCCAGTAGAATTGCAGGTTTTGGTCCATTTGAATCAAATGAAAGAATTACATCATGGTATAACTTGGAGAAACCAACCTAAATCTGAACGTTGTAGACTTGTGATAGCAACTATAAAGACTGCTCAGAGTGAACATCGGTGACAGGCAGAGTTTTGGTAGGTCCTTGGCCTGTGTAGCCCCAGATCCTATGACCTGATCAGAAACATCTGTCTACTAGCAATTCTACCTTGCTTGAGATGGTGACCTTAACTCCTTTGAGGTTGGAAAACTGTTCTCTTGGTGATAACTTTTTTTGTTTCTTTTTGACTTTCTTTTTTTTAATCCCTGAGAGAGGTTAAGATTAAATATAGTTTAAAATTACATAGTCATGATAAACTAAGTTGGATTAGACTATTAATCTTTTGTATTAAGTTTAGGACATCATTAAGATAACCTGTGTGTTTGAGGTATTTAGAGTTTATAACATTCAAAAGAACATGAGATTCATTCTGTTATGTTAAATGATTCATTAGAACCATTTGAAAAGGTTTTACTTAAATCAGGCATTCAAAGTGCTTAAAAGCAAAATAAAATTTATATGAATTTTAAAATGTTGAAGGAAATTTAATTAATAGTAGGATTAATTGTTTAAAGAATTTAAGTCAAGTTGAATTAATCAAACAATAATGAAAGAAAAAGTGAAGGTGATTATACTTGCTTTAGTAGATTTTAAAATAAAATTAAAAATAAGATTTTAAAATAAACTTCTAAAATAAAATCTTAGAATAAGATTTATAGACTGAATTTAGCACTTATGTTTCATTAATAATTGTCTGGATATAGAGTAAAAATAGTTACTTAAACCTTTGAAGACATTGTCAGGTTTCTTTGTACCTGGTGATGCTAAATTTGGTGACTATTCCTTTATGGAAAAACATTTACATGTGAATTTTTTAAATTTTATTTTATTGGGGAACAGCCATGCTCATTGGTTACACATTGCTTTCATGCTACAATGGCATAGTTGACTCTTTTAGGGAGGGTGCAGCTCACAGTGGCCAATGCGGGGATCGAACCCTCAACTTTGGTTTTTATCAGCACCACGCTTTAACTAACTGAGCTAACTGGTCACCCTTACAGGTGAATTTTTAAACATAAGCCTTACAATAGCTAATTGCGTTGGCCTGCTTAAAGACTTATGTATGATTTTACAAAATAACATCCTGGTTCTGACAATAAAAAAAATCAATATTTTTTTCTTTCTATTTAAAAATTTAGATGTATCCAATTAAAACAGGCAATTGATGAAAATAAAAGTACTCTTCAAAAATTAAAAAAAGTAAGTATTACGATTAATCATATTACAAAATATCTGTTTTTACAAATATTTTCATGAAGTGGTAATTCATTAGAGTGGGGAAATTCCTGGATTTGCCTTAGTAATGAAGTCTGACTGCAGTCAGTGCTGACTCACCTGGCAGGCTTACTGAGTGTGAGCTTTGGAGCAGAATATCCAGTGCTCCAAATAACTGATAAAAGTTCAGCTTTGATGAACTCACCCAGCATTGAGAAAATCCAAGAAGAAACTATTTTTATTTTTGCATTGTGTCAGTTTTACATTTTACACTTTAGGGTTATTTTAATTTGAATTCCATTGTGAGAGAGGGTACATAACCTGGCCTGACGGTAAGTGGTAAGGAAGCTGCTTGTATCACATGTCAACTCTAACATTGGTGACTCTGCAGAAACAGGAACAACTAGAACTTACTCCTGGCAGTCCTTTCAGGATTTTTTTCTTTTAACATAAGCTTGAGCTTCAGCTAGATACCAGGGCCAGAGACTCACAAGAATTTCAGGTGGAAGTCATCTGTGAGTCATATACTGTGTATGACCCCCCTGTACTGCATCTGAGACAAGTGGTCACTGAGTGTCTCTTCTGAATTTCTCCAGTGACACAGAACCCTTTAACTTAGGAGGCAGACTGACCCTACATTTGAAAACCTAATTACTCCTGTTTCACAGATGAGGAAACCTAAGACTCAAAGGTAGAACAGCTCTCCCAGTGTCTCACTGCCAAGAAGTGGCGGAACTTGGGGCCTGTCTTTTAGATTCCAAAGCCGTTCTTCTGTCTGGAACCTCTCTTTTACCTACTACAGAGGGTCTGCAATACCTAGCAAGGGAACAAAACAAAACAAAAGTTATTTCATTTTTCATTTGGTTTACATTCTAACATAATAATCTACATTTCTTTTAATCTTATTTCTCTATGGTAGGCGAAGTCTCATACTGATCTTTACTTTGTCTTCTAGCACTTATTGGAGTTTTTTCTGTTTAAATATAATATGAAACTGAAATAAATTGTTCAGTGAAATAGACTTATCTTCTCTCATAGGCTGATGAACCTATACCTGTTGGGAACTATCATCAGAAAAAGGAAGAGGAGCACAGTCTCTTGGATAAACTTACCCACCAGCTGCAGGAACTTGCCATGTCTATAAGCAGAGAGAATATAACTGAGTATGCTTCTTTCCTTCCTTTCTTTCAGATGTTATGTCACCAGCAGTTTTAATGTTTGACTCAGGATAAAGATATGTAACAGTGTAGGTATAAACAGACATTGTTTATTGCGTATGGTAGAAAGTGTGAGCTCCCATGAGAGATGCATAGGATAACAGCACTGCTTGGTTGAGGTTCATACAGCTGTTTTGTATATTTTGACCACATTTTATAGCTGTTTCCGGTAGAAACGGTAAGTCAAATACCATTTACTTTGTCATTCTCAGTACTGGAAATCAATGGAAATTCTAGAGTCCTTGCATCTTCATCCTTTAGCATTTTCCCAGAATACAGTGAAAAGTAAGGGAACAGCATTTGAAGACTCTGAATAGTTGATGTCTCCCTTTTTTTTCTTCCCACAAATTGGATTTATTTATACCATCAGGTTTTCTTCTACTTTGCAAAGGCTATTGTTAACATCCACTCCAGCAGAAAAACAATGCATGTTTCTACCTCCAATTTTTAAAGAATATTTATGAAAGGAGGAAACATGCAAGTAGACAATCCAAATAATCTTTTTACATATCAACACTGACACTAAAGGCCTCATCCTTTTTTCCTAACATTTTCTTTTAAAGATTTTATTGTGAAATTGGGGGAGGGGAACAGCATTGGGGAATCGGGGAAGAGGAACAGACAAGTTGCTGTCCTTTTGTTCTTCAGTCTAGTTGTAGAGGACATCGCTTCACTGGCCCATGTTGGCACCATCATTGCGCTCTTCCTGGGCAAGGCAGATCGGTCACTGGCCACTGGACGGCCGCTTACAGCAGCTCTTGGCAGCTCATGCCAGCTGCTGGCCACTCACGGTAGTTTACAGCAACCCACTGCAGCCTCACTGCAGCCTACGCTTTCGCCGGCGACTAACGGCAGCCCAGCTCCAGGTTGAGCTGTTGTTCAGCATCTTAGCTGTAGAGGGCACAGCGTCACTGGCCCTAATGTGGGATCCAAAGCTTTTCAGATCTCTGTTTCCTGAATATTGAATGAATAAAGCTCAGAGAGATTTAGTTACTTATCCATGCCATATTATTTGAGCTCCTCTCTTCTCCCTCACCTCTCACTTTACCTAGTTCATATTTTTCCAGAATGTCTTTCTCTTCCTCCCTAATGCTGTTTACTTACTTCATACTGTTGTCATGTGTCACTTTTAATAGCCACCTTTCCTTTAGCCCTCCCTCCAGTCTGTTCCCCTTTCTAAAGTGCAGAGCAGATCTTGCCCTTCCCTTACTTCTTAGGTGCTGCCTTAGAGATGATACTCGCGTGGACTGTATTCTGCTCCTCTGTTTGTAGCCTCACCTCTTTCTCATTTCTCAAGCCTCGTCCTGCCATCATGACCTCCTTGAGGTTCCCTAATCTTGAGCCTCCGTTCTCCACTCCCTCCCCCTCCTTGCTACTTCCTTTTACCTGATAACTCCAACTCACCTCTCAAGACCTAATTCTGGCTCTTTCCTGATCCCTACCCATACAGTCTAGGTGAGGTGTCCCCCTTGTGTTTCCTTACTGTCCTGTGTATACCTCCACTGTAGTACCTGTTGAACTATAGTGTAATTATCCGTTTCTAGATTGATTCATTGTAAGCTTCTAAGGACAAGAATTGTGTCTGGTTTACCTTTGTATCCACTGTGTCTGACTTGGACCATCATCATAGCTGACTTCTTTTAAAGCTTGATATGGACAGGCACTGTTCCAAATACTCTGTGAATTGGTAACTGGTATAATCCTCATGAGGAAGGTTCTATTATTATCTCCACTTTACCAATGAGAAACTGAGAGCTTAAAAGAAACCTACTGCCTGTAAATCATAATTATTTCTCAACAAGGAGGGTATAGAGCCAGAGTTTAAACGCGGAGCCCATGCTATAAGCACTGCATAATAATGCTCAAGCAGCATGTACTGAAATAGATGAATCCAAGTCTCTTGGCCTATAGTCCAGTGCCTGCTTTGCCCTGTCACATAACTTCCTCAGATATATCATGTCTTTCACTGTTTAGTCCCTCAAGTCACATACTCTTAGCTAGATGGTAGAAATCATTAGCTATGCTTTCCTTTTGTCTCCTTTATTTGCCAGTTCCAAATACAGGTCAGTTCTATATATATTGGGTTATTGGAAAAGTCATGACATATTTTTTCTATGTTTTTCATTGCAAAAATGCGTCATGACTTTTCAGACAACCCAATAGAACTTATATTTGACCAGCTCTAATACACTATTTCAAGTGATCCTTGTCATAGAATTACTGTTTTGCAGAATTGGGGAATTTACTGAAAGAGCGGAAGATGATTCTGCTGAAGATGAAGAAGAAGATGATGATGATGAAGAAGAAAGTAAAGAAAGTGGTGGGGAAGAAGAAGAAACACAAGAGGAAGAGAAACAGGAAAATGAATCTCACCAACAGGTGACAAGTAAAGAATACATTGCTGTTGGAGATTTTACTGCTCAGCAGGCTGGAGATCTGACATTTAAGGTAGGTAGAAACAAGACTGGAACCTAACCTCAAGAGCAATTTGCATACCTAACAAAATAAGGAAACTCTACGTGTGTACCTGGGTTACATACATTTTCCTGAAACTAAGTTTTTGTTTTTATTTTTGTTTTTTTTTAAAGATTTTATTGGGGGATTGAGGGAGGGGAACAGCATTGGGGAATCGGGGAAGAGGAACAGAAAAGGTGCTGTCCTTTTGTTCTTCAGTCTAGTTGTAGAGGACATCGCTTCACTGGCCCATGTTGGTATTGTGATCATTGCACTCTTCCCGGGTGAGGCAGTTGCTTGCCGGCCATTAAACAGCCGCTCACAGCGGCTCACAGCAGTTCACGCCAGCTGCTGGCCACTCACGCTGGCTTGCCAGCCACTCACGGTAGCTTTCGGCAGCCCACTGCAGTCCCACTGCAGCCTATGCAGTCACCGGCGACTTACAGCAGCCCAGCTCCAGGTTGAGCTGTTGTTCACCATCTTAGCTGTAGAGGGTGTGGAGTCACTGGCTCTCATGTGGGATCCGAATCCGGGCCCTGTTGCTCAGAGCTGGGGTCCCAAGCCAACTCTTAACCAACACTCCATTCAGCCAGCCCCTGAAACGAAGTTTTTAAAGACTCAATTTGTTTTAATAAAATGAGCAATAATTATGATTTACAGGCAGTAGTCATGTGAAATTCTGTTATCAAAGTTACCTGGTAAAAGAGTAAATGCTCTTCTATTTTTGAAAATAGTTTTAATGTTGATAATTCCTATTTTAGGGGTAAGTTTTAACTTAAAATTTTCATTTTGTTTTGCTTTAAGAAAGGGGAAATTCTCCTTATAATTGAAAAAAAACCTGATGGCTGGTGGATGGCTAAGAGTGCCAAAGGAAACAAAGGTCTCGTTCCCAAAACCTACCTGGAGGTTAGTGTTTATTGTTTATTCTTTCCTTTTTCTCCTTTTGAACTTTTTCATTTTTAATAAAACATTAAGCTGTATTCTTAGATCAACTGACTAGTGAATGACTTGAGATACAGAATTTAATTTTAGAGGAACAGGACATGGGAAAAATATCATGTGTTAACAGTTCTGGGACCTATGAAGTACTCTCATATAGATGAGCCCTAGAATGTTAACCCACAGTGAAGATGCCTTGTGGATTAATGCTGATCATAAAAATAAATAGGCATTTATTGTTTGTTGTAAAATAAAACCACAGTTAACTTTGTGTTAACTGACACAAATATACAATCCTATATTAGGATAGGAATATACTGTATACATGCATGTTTGTAGCCTATTTTTTTCATATTTCATAGTACAGCATGGTCATTTTCTGTGCCAATATGCATAGATAATCTGTCTGGATCAGTGCTGTCCAGTAGAAATCTAATGCAAACTACAAATGTAATTTAAAATTTTCTAGTAGCTATAAGTGAAATGTCTTTTTTTGTGACACCACCTCTAGTGCTGTGTGATTTTTCTCTGACACCAAACCTGTGTTGTTTCTCCACATGCATTCTCTGAAACCAGCCAGGTGTCCAACAATTCAATTCAATTCTAATACTAACTCCTGGAGTTAGTACAGACCCCACAAGTTAAGGGCTTGGTCCCACAAACTGCCCTACTACAGATGACCATCACAAGTCCCAGGGGCCTCCTGTACTTCTGGGTGATCAGCTGTAAATTTGGGGGTTCCCACACCCATCCTTAAGTTCGATAATTTGCTAGGGGCACTCACAGAACTCAGGAAAACACCTTACTTGTGTTTATTGTGAAGGATAAGACTCAGGAAGAGCCACATGGAAGAGGTGCACAGGGCGAGGCATTGGGAGATGGAGGGAGTGAGACTTGGGTCTTCCATGCCTGCTCCGGGTGCCACACTTCAGCACTTCCACTGACCTGGAAGCTTCCCAAACCCTGTCTTTTAGGGGTTTTTATGGAGGCTTCATTACTTAGGCATGATTAATTAAATCATTGCTGTTGGTGACTGAATTCAATCTCCAGCTTTCTTCCCCTCTCTGAAGGTGGAGGTGCGGGAAGGGGAGTGCTATGAAAGTTCCAGTGCTCTAATCACATGGTTGGTTCCTCTGGCAAACAGCACCACCTCCACCCATCACTTCATTAGTATACACTCAGGGGCTTGTTATAAATAACAAAAGACACCCCTGTCACTCAGGAAATTGTTTTAGGAACTCTTGCCAAGAAATGGGAATAAAGACCAATATATATTTTTCATTATACCACACATTTTTAAAAAAGTAAAAAGAAACAGGTGACATTCTAATAATATATTTTATATTATTCAATTTATAAAAATATTATCATTTCAACATATAATCAATATTTAAAAATACTTTCTTTTTTTTATGCTAAGTCTTCAAATTCCAGTGTGTATTTTACACTTAAATAGCACATCTCAGTTTGGGCTAATCACATTCCAAGTGTCAGCAGCCCCATGTGGTGATTGGCTGCTGTATTGCACAGTCCAGGTCTAGATCATCTTTTTCAGTGGTAGCATAGTATTCCAATTTCGTAGAGATAAACATTTAGGTTGTTCCTAACCTATAATAGCTATCAATTATGTAGCAAAGTAGCTTCCACTATGATCAGCTTCCACTATGAGTTCCAAAAGATCACAAGAATAGTGGCTTAAATAAGGTAGAAGCATATTTCTCTCTAACATGGCAGAAGTGAGGCGGTAGCAGTCAAAGGGTGGTGAGGCCCCATTAAATAGTTCACTCTGTTAGGTGTGTGACAACTCTTCTAGATGTTATCTCTGCAGTTTAAGTTGGCTGTTACATCTTTTAATGATTCCAAAGAGCAAAAGAGGAGGAAAAGGAAACAAGAGGTCAAAAGGCCTGAACTGCCATCTTTTTAAGACAGGTTCCTGGAAATTACACAAAAAACTTCCAATTATATCTCCTCGATCAGAATTTAGTTGTTGGCAACACCTAGCTGTAAGGAAGCCTTGGAAACTGTAGTCTTTTTGCCTGTTACTTGCTAAAGGAGGGACTGTTAGAAAAGAAGAGGTAGAGATTCAGTGGTAGACAACCTGCCACTAGTGTTGTGATCAGTCTGCACAGACATCTTTGTAGAGTTGTCCCATTGTTCCCTTTAGATTGATTCGAGATGCTCAGTGCTGGTTCAGAGGGTTTGTTTTACACCTTTAAATTTTTATTTAATTTTCCATTTTGCCTTTCAGAAAAGTTAGGCCTATTTGTATAACAAACCTCCAGCAGCTGAGAAATATGTGTTTCCCACACATTTCCAATGATGGCTGTCATCACATTCTGCCAATGTGACAGGCAAAAAGGGCTCATTATTGTTTTTGTTTGTCGTGTTAATGGAGTTGAGCATCATTTCATATACTTTATGACCATTTCTATTTCTTCTTTGTAAATTACCTTTTCACTTCTTTTTACCATTTTTCTAAGGGATTATTTATTTATTTATTTTCTATTTGTGTTTAAGATTTTTTTAAAATATAGCGAACATAAAATATTATATTAGTTTCAGTTGTACACAATAGTTATTCAACATTTATAAGTCCAGCAACCATCTGATACTGTATAATGCTATCACAATATTATTGACTATATTCCCCATATTGTATATTATATCCCCATGACTTATTTGTCTTATACTTAGAAATTTGAAGCTCTTATTCCCTTTCACCTTTTCCCCCCTATTTAAAAATTTTAATTGCAGTTGACATTCAATATTATTTTATATTAATTTCAGTTGTACAGCAGAGTGGTTGGACATTTATATAATTTAAGAAATGATCCCCCTGACTAGTCTAGTACCCACCTGGCACTATACATAGTTATTACCATGTTATTGACTATATTCCCTATGCTTTACTTTATATCCCCCTTACTATTTTGTAACTACTAATTTGTACTTCTTAATCCCTTCACCTTTTTTCACCCTGCCCCCTAAGCCCCCTCCCATCTGTCACCCCAATAAATCTAGTACCCATCTAATACCATACGTAGTTATTACCATATTGTTCATATATTGTTATGCTATACCCTACATCTGCATGACCATTTTGTAATAACCAATTTGTACTTCTTAATCCCATCCCGTTTTTCACCTATTCCCAACCCCCTCCTGTGTGGCAACTGTCAAAATGTTTTCTGTATCTGTGAGTTTGTTTCTATTTTGTTTGCTTGTTTATTTTGTTCTTTAGATTCTAAATATAAGTGAAATCGCATTGCATCTGTCTTTCACTGTCTGACATATTTCACTCAGCACAATATCCTTCAGGTCCATCCATGTCACTGCAGATGGTGAGAACTCATTGCCTTCCATGGCTGAGCAATATTCCATTGTATATATATATATATATATATATATATATATATATATATATATATATATATATATATATATATATATATATACCACCTCCTGTTTATCCATGCATCCATTGACAGACACCCAGGCTGCCTCCACCTCTTGGCCATTGTAAACAATGCTGTAATGAACATATGGATGCACACGTCCCCTTGAAGTAGTGTTTTGGGTTTCTTTGGATAATTACCCAGAAATGGGATTACTGGGTCCTTTTTCGTCACTTGTTATATAGCCTTTGTTTTAAAGTCTGTTTTGTCTGGTATAAGTATTGCTACCACAGCTTTTCGTTTGTTTGTTTCCATTTTCATGAAATATCTTTTCCCCATCTTTTTATTTTCAATCTATGTTTTTTGATCTGAAGTGAGTCTCTTGTAGGCAGCATATGTATGAGGTTTGACAATTAAGTTCACGAACTTGCCACTATGCACTTACATTGATAGCACTGTACAAACAGCTCAGTAAGGTTTCATAACCTTGGTATATCAGTGTCTCACAGCTGTGTTTGTGTCAATGTGTGGCGGTGTCTTGCTGAGTGGCGTTCATTATTGTTGCGTGATTTTGTGTGCCATAGTGAGAATGTCTGAGCTTGAATTAGAGCAAAGAACAAACATTAAATTTCTTGTTAAACTTGGCAAAAGTGGAAGTGAAATCAGGGACATGTTAGTCCAAGTTTATGGGGATAATGCCATGAAGAAAATGGCAGTGTACAAATGGATTAAATGTTTTTCTGAGGGGAGAGAATGTGTCATTGATGAAGACAGGTCAAGGCAGCCAGTAATGAGCAGAACTGATGAAAACGTTGCAAATATTCATGGAATTGTGCGTCAAAATTGTCAGCTGACTGTGAGAAGCATAGCAGACCAAGTAAACATTGATAGAGAAACAGTTAGGAAAATCTTAACTGAAAATCTTGGCATGAGAAAGGTGTGTGCAAAATTGGTCCCAAAGGAGCTCTTGCATCACAAAAATGCACCAGCTCACACGTCACTGTCTGTGAGGGAGTTTTTAGCCAGAAAACAAATAATTGTGTTGGAATACCCTCCCTGCTCACCTGTCTGGCCCCCAATGACTTCTTTCTTTACCCAAAGATAAAGTAAATATTGAAAGAAAGACATTTGGATGACATTCAGGACATCAAGTATAATACAATGACAGCTCTGATGGCCATTCCAGAAAAAGAGTTCCAGAAGGGTAGACTAGATAATGGTGTCAGTGCGTAGCTTCCCTAGGGAAGTACTTCAAAGATGACCATAGTGATATTTAGCAATGAGGTATGTAGCACTTTTTCTAGGATGAGTTTGCGAACTTAATTGTCACATCTCGTAAGGGTCTTGTTTTCTTATCCATTCAGTCCCTCTGTTTTTTTATTGGAACATTTAATCCATTTACATTTGAAGTAATTGTTGATAGATATGTGTGTAGTTATTGTCATTTTATCTTTCATATTTTTAATCTTTTTTTCTGTTTTTGTCTTAAAGAACTCCCCCTAACATTCCTTGTAATACTGGTTTGGTGGTGAGGAACTCCTTTAGCTATTTCTTGTCTGGGAAACTGTTTATCTGTCCTTTGATTCTAAATAATAGCTTTGCTGGGTATAGTAATTTTGGTTGTAGGTCCTTGTTTTTCATCACTTTAAGTATTTCCTACCAATCCCTTCTGGCCTGCAAAGTTTCTGTTGAGAAATCAGCTCATAGTCTTATGGGAGTTCTCTTGTAGATAACTAACTTCTTTTCTCTTACTGCTTTACTGCTTCTTACTGCTTTTAAGATACTCTCTTTGTCTTTAACTTCGGCATTTTCATTATGTGTTTTGGTGTGGGCCTCTTTAGGTTCATCTTATTTGCGGACTCTGTGCTTCCTGGGTTGTATGTCTATTTCCTTCGCCAGGTTAGGGAAGTTTTCCATCATTATTTCTTCAAATAGGTTTTCAATTTCTTGCTGTCTCACTTCTGCTTCTGGTACTCCAATGTTGGTACACTTGAGGCCCCTTAAACTCTCCTCATTTTTTTGGATTCCTTTTTTCTTTTTGCTGTTCTGATTAGGTGTTTTCTGCCTCCTTATCTTCTAAATTGCTGATTCAATCCTCAGCTTCATCTAATCTACTGTTGATTCCCTGTAATGTATTCTTTATTTCCATTATTGTATTCTTTATTTCTTACTGGTTCTTCTTTATGTTTTCTACCTCCCTTTTGTTTCCTATCTCTTTGTTGAAGTTCTCCCTGAGATTATTGAGCATCTTTATAACTAGTGTTTGGAACTCTGTGTCTGATAGATTGCTTGTCTTCATTTTGTTTAGTAGTTTTTCTGGAGCTTTTTTCTGTGCTTTAATTTGGGACATGTTTCTTTGTCTCCCTATTTTGGCTGCCTCCCTGTGCTTTTTTCTACATAGGGCTGCTATATGTCCTGGTCTTAGTAGAGTGGCCTTCTTTAGTAGGTTTCCTGTGGAACCCAGTGGTGCAGTCTCCCTGGTCACCAGAGCCGTGCACTCCAGGTGTGTCCATTGTGTGGATTGTGTGTCCCCTCCTATTGTAGTTGAGACTTCATTGCTGTTTGCACATCAGTGGGTGGGATTGACTCTCAGGCTGATTGGTTGTGAGAAATGGCTGTGTCTACAATGGAGTAGCTGTTGTGTAGAGGCTGACCCTACAGAGCAAGGTTCACTTTATCGGGGCTCTGGTGCCTCCCCAGTTTCCCCTTTGGATGTGTCATGCTTGGAGGTAGCCAGATGATGCTCAGGCCCAGTCTGAAGTTGGCCAGCCCTGGGGTCTCCTGGGAGGGGACCTGCTGCAGGCAAAGTTTAGCTGCAGTTTGTGCCCTGCCCGGAGCCACCTGGCATGAGCTACAAAGCAATCCAGAGGTGGCCACCACCTGCACTGTGCTTGGAGGTGCCTTAAGAGGCCAAGCCACGAACCAAGGCCAGCTATCACTAATGTCAGGCTTTGGGCTGCTCAGCCAGAGATATGAGACATGCCAAAACCATATGCTGCTTGTATAAGTTTTGTGAACCTTTAACAGATTTTAGGAATGTCCATAGCATGAGCCAAGGCAGTTCGTTTATATGGAGAAGCCACTGTATGTGACTTGGGTGTGCCGAAAAGTTGGGTGGGCTGTGGTCTCAGGGAGTCACTAGGTGGGGCAGATGAAAGGTGATAGTTGGTTTGACGGAGACTCAGGACTACTCAGATATAGTGTCTGCCTGCATGGGATTGCGGGGGAGGGCTCAACAAAGGAGCTATGGCTTCCGCCAGCTCCTCTGTTCAAGAGAAAGCTGCCCCTCCAGCCCTCATCCCGAAACCAGACAACTCAGTTTCTCCTCCTATGTTCCTGGGAACTTTTGAGCTGCTGCCCCAGTGCTGGAGCTCAGAGCGAGTGAGTCCATCAGTGAGTAACTTCGTGCATGGGCCCTTTAAGAGGAGCGCCCTGGACTGCAGCCACCCTCCGTCTCTCTCAGCCACAATCTCTGCTGATTTTCACAGCCAGAAATTATGGGGACATTTCCTCTCAGCACTGAAACCCTGGGCTGGGGAGGGCCTGGTATCCCTCACTCCTTAGTGGGAGACCTCCGCAGCCAAGATATCACTCCCCGTTTTTTTTTT